GAAAATATTTATAAAGGCATATATGTCTATTTTTTTTCTTTTATACCTTCAGGCTTTCCAGTGTCTCCTGCCTATTGATAAAATATGTATTTTCCTCCAAGGATTGATTGATTGATTGGCTGGAGAGGGAGGTGGGGGGCAGGCAGAAGAAGAGGGAAAGAGAGAATCTTAAGCAGGATCCATGTGGGACTCGATTTCATGACCCTGAGATCATGACCTGAGCCAAAAATTAAGAGTCAGGTGCTTATCATGTGAGTCACCGAGGTGCCCCTTTCCCCTAAGGATTTTGTTGTTTGATTTTTAAGAATTTTATCCATTTTGTCATTTCTTTTTATAACTGGTACAAGATAGAGATCTGAATTTATTTTCTTTAGGGGGTGCCTGCCTGTCTCAGTCAGGGGAGCATGCAACTCATGATCTTGGAGTCACGAGTTCAGCCTCATGTTGGGCATAGAGCTTACATTAAATTTATTTTCTTTTTTTTTCTTTTTTTTTTAAAGATTTTATTTATTTATTTCACAGAGAGAGATCACAAGTAGGCAGAGAGGAGGCAGAGAGAGAGATAGAGGAGGAAGCAGGTTCTCCGCTGAGCAGAGAGCCTGATGCGGGACTCGATCACAGGACCCTGAGATCATGACCTGAGCCAAAGGCAGAGGCTTAACCCACTGAACCACCCAGGTGCCCCTAAATTTATTTTCTTTCAAATACGTAGCTACTTGTGCTAGGCCCATTTATTAAATAATTCATCTTTCCCACAATGATTTCAACCACCACCTTTATCACATACTACTTTTCATATGTATGCAAAGATCTCTTTGCTTCCTATTCCATTTCACTGATGTGTTTGTCTAACCTTTATAGCTCTGTAATAATTTGATAAGTTACTTTCCAGTGTGTTCTAATATCTGCTAAATCTCCCTTCACTGTTTATTTTCTATACTCAGTCATTTATTTTTCCATGTAGCTTTTACAGTTATTTTGTCCAAGTCCAACCTGCACCCATACTCTATTAGAGTATTAATTAGAATTTTACTAAATTTATACATTGTTTTGGGAAAATTGACTTTTTAAAAATATTAATGTTCTCATTCAAGGGCCTGAATACATTTCCTTTTGCTCAGAGATTGTTTTATATTCTGAAATGTGATGTTATTATTTTTCTCATTTACGTTCTGTGCTTTTCTTGTCAAATTTATCTTTAGGTGATTTAGATGTTTTTCTCTTATTATGAATGGAGTATTTCACTTCATTTCCTTTTCTAAATACTTATCAAAGAATAGAGAAAAGCCATTAATTCCTATATGTTTAGCTTATCTTCAGTCATCTTACCAAATTCTTTTATAAATTCTGGTATTTTTTAACCACAGCTCTTGAAATTTATCTGCTTTCCCCTCTAAAATTTATACTGTTTTTCCTGTCTTACTGAATGTACTAGACTGTCCAAGCCATTGTTAAATGATAATACTGATATAGCATCCCTAACTAGTTATTGATTTTAATGAAGTGTGGTGTTTTTCTACTTTTCCTGTTTCTGTTTCCCTGTTGGCTTTTGGTAAGTAGTCTACTAAGAGGTTTCTTCTATTTTATGTATATTTCTAAAAATTAGGAATGGTTAGTGGATTTTATCAGACATTTATCAGCACCTATTGACATGATGATATAGTTTTTCTCCTTTAATTTGTTGATATAATGGTTATATTGATAGAGTTCCTATTACTGAACCATCTGAAAAAAAAGAAAGCCCTGATTACATTACTGTATTAAATGTAATTATTCGGAATCGTGTATCTATATTCATAAGCTAGGAAATGTGAATCTATATTCATAAATGAGACTGGTCTATAATATTAATGTTAAAATTGGCTGACTTCATAAAATGAGTTAGTGGCTTTTTTGTCTTTTCATTAATAGAGCCTGGAGTAATTTAAATAACATTGAAATTTTATGCTCTTTAAGGAACAAATAAAAATCATGGGGCCCCTTGATGGCTCTGTCAGTGGAACATGTGACTCCTGATCTTGGGTTCTTGAGAGGAAGCCCCGCTTTGCGTATAGACTTAGAATGAAAGAAAGAAAGAGAGAAAGAAATAGGTTTGTTTTATTTTACAATGTTAGAGTTTAACATACTCAATTCCATCTGTAGTAATTGTTCTATTTTGTTTGCCATCTTTCATGGGTCAGTTTTGTTTATATAGGAAATCATCTATTTATCTGTTTATCCTAGTTTTCAAATTGGTTGACATAAAGTTGTATGTGGTATTCTCTTAGAATTCTTTCAATAACTCCATCTCTGGTATGTCTCCTTTCTCATTCCTAATCCCTGTTATTTCTTCCTAGTTAGACTAATAAAGTTTTATTATTCTTTTTTTAAGGTTTTATTTATTTATTTGACAGACAGAGATCACATGTAGGCAGAGAAGCAGGCACAGAGAGAGGAGGAAGCAGGCTCCCTGCTGAACGGAGAGCCCTATTCGGGGCTCGATCCCAGGACCCTGAGATCAGAGGCTCAGGTCATGGCTTTAACCCATGGCAGAGGCTTTAACCCATTGAGCCACCCAGGTGCCCCAAGTTTTATTATTCTTTATGAAGAAATTGGTTTTTGTTATCAAGAGAGACTAATTGGTTATAAGACAGCATACATTTCTCAAATTTTTAAAAGATTTTATTTATTTATTTGAGAGAGAGAGCGCACACACGGGCAAGTGAGGGAGCGGAAGCAGAAGGAGCAGCAAAGGCAGAGGGAGAAGCGGGCTCCCCTGTGAACAGGAAGCCCAATGTGGGGCTTGGTTCCAGGACCCTGGGTTCACGACCTGACCCCACAGCTGCTTAACAGACTAAGCCATCCAGGCATCCCCTCAGTTGTTTTTGATGATGACGAGAGATGTATTTCTCCAGAAAAAATATTAAAGAAACTTTTTAAAACGCCACAAAAATAGGCAAACAGACATTTATATGGCAGACAGAAAGGGTGGGGAGAAAAGTGAGAAATAAATATAAATTAAGTATAATTATCTTCATTATCGTTAATGGACTTCAAGTAACACTTTAAAAATAAATGCCTCGGGGCACCTGGGTGGCTCAGTGGGTTAAAGCCTCTGCCTTCGGCTCGGGTCATGATCCCAGAGTCCTGGGATCAAGCCCCACATCCGGCTCTCTGCTCAGCGGGAGCCTGCTTACCCCCCTCTCTCTCTGCCTGCCTCTCTGCCTACTTGTGATCTCTCTCTGTCAAATAAATAAATAAAATCTTTAAAAAAAAAATAAAAAAAATAAATGCCTGTCCCTTTAACAAGTAGATGAGTACACTTAAGCAGAGGCACCTTGCAGAGAGTACACTTTCCTTTGGGGGAAAAGTGCAGCCAAACTTCTGCTGAGAAAGAAAAGGTTTTCTCAGTTACCAAGGTGTCTTTTCTCAGTGTATAATGGGAAATAGTGCTTAGTTCTTCTTATTTTGTTGTCAAAGACAATTTTTAAATGAAAATACTTGTCATCAGCAGGTAAGTAGTAATTTAAATGAAGGCAGTCCTTGTTTGAAGGAAAAACCTTAGGGTTTTTTTAGTTTTATATTTTGGTTTTGTTTTTGTCTCTGTTAGCTTAAGAGTACTGAAAAGTATTATATATGACAGTTCACAAAATAATTGTTTGGGAAACAATAATTTTAAGTATAACTAATCAAAATAAATCCACTTCTGAGTGCCTGGCTGGCTTAGTTGGTAGAGCAGGAGACTCTTGTTCTTGGGGTTGTCAGTTTGAGCCCTGTATTGGGTATAGAGATTACTTGGTGCCTGGGTGGCTCAGTGGGTTAAGCCTCTGCTTTTGGCTTAGGTCATAATCTCAGGGTCCTGGGATTGAGCCCTGCAATGGGCTCTCTGCTCAGCAGGGAGCCTGCTTCCCCCCAGCCTCGCATGCCTCTCTGCCTACTTGTGATCTCTCTCTCTCTCTCTGTGTCAAATAAATACATAAAATCTTTTTTTTAATCTTAAATTAGTCCCATTTTGTTTAACTATTTATAGTTTTCTTATAAATAACACTACAAGATTCAAATATTTAAAGATTCTGGCATTTTTCTTTTCCTTTTTAAAAAAAATAATTTATTTATTTGAGAGAGTGCACGCAAGCATGAGCAGGGTGAGGGGCACAGGGAGAAGCAGATTCCCTGCTGAGCAAGGAACCCCACCCACAAGGGGCTCAATCCTAGGACCCTGGGATTATGACCTGAGTTGAAGGCAGGTTCTTAACTGACTGAGCCACCCAGGTGCCCTGGAATCTGGCATTTTTCATTGTTGCAATGCAAGAAATAAAGCATATATACATAGAGTAAACTAATATTATTAGTTTAGTTTTATTATAGCTATTATATTTGTTTGTGTAGCTAAGTACCAATTTCGTAGAGAAGGAACTGAGAACAAAACTCAAAATAATTAAATGCACCTCCTAACATATTGCTGTCATCATCATTAATTTATGCTAATTCTGATCTTTTATTTTTGACATTTAATAATTACCATTCATTAATATATTAATTATATGCCAAACAGTAAAATAAATGATAATACTCTTATTTAATCTTCCCACCAACACTGTCAATATGTATCCTAACTATCTTGCCTAATATCTATTCATATCATTGATCAGAATACCTATAATGTTTCTCAGGACCTAGTGGAGTAATGGAACAAATTTAGTGTCCCTTTACATTCAATATATCATTTGCTCCTGAAGAGTAGCTTGATTATGCAATGCGCCACAACATTCCTAATGCAGAATGTCACAGCATTCTTAATGCAGAATTGAAAAGTACACAATTCTTTCTACATATACACACATACCATATCACCGCTTCTCCTTTTTTAAAAAAAGATTTTATTTGTTTATTTGACAGAGATCACGAGTGGGCAGAGAGAGAGAGAGAGAGAGAGAGAGAGAGGGAAAAGCAGGCTCCCTGCCGAGCGGAGAGCCTGATGTGGGGCTCGATCCCAGGACCTTGAAATCATGATCTGAGCCAAAGACAGAGGCTTAACCCACTGAGCCACCCAGGCACCCCCCATATCATCTCTTCTACCTTTGACACATCCTTATCCCTCAGCTTCTGCCCCTCCCCACCTTGTCCTCCTCCTCTTCTTCTCCCAACCCTGGAAGCCTTTCTCCCATCCTTGAAGTCATCTTTTGTTTACCTTCTCAGTGTGAGAGTCATGTGTCTTGTTTATCAACATACAAGACACATCTGAGCACATTCAACTTAATTACAACTATGATGACTTCTTCTGTTCAGTTCAGGGTCTAGGCCTGTTCTGTACATGAATTTCCAGTAAGCTCACCCAACCCCCCAAACTGGTTCCTCTCCTCTCCTAGTTTTAAACATCTCAGCAAATGAAAGGATGTAATTGAGCAGTCATCCACCCAGTTATTCAAACCACAAACTTAGAAATCATCCTTGATTCCTCTTTTTATCTCTCCTCAGCATCCCAACCATTACCTCTACCTCCAAATCTTTATCCCCAAAACATATCCTAAATCTACTTCTCCCATTTGTCACTTCTGCCACATGTGTC